TAAGAAAGGAATTTATAAATTTTTTTTCCAGTTTCAAATAAGCTAGGTGTCTTTTTTTTTGTGTATTGTTATTATTATCATGCTGTTTTCCATCTCAGTCACATAATTTATTTCTGTCTAAGTGGCATTTAGGAATCCATGCCCTGTCGTGCTTGATGTGTGGATTTGCTTTGAAGCACCACATATACCTTTGGTACTGAGTTCTTTCCTGGGCTCTTTTCTTTGGTTCTTATGTGTCTTTCACTTTTCTGGAGCTGTGTCCAATGCACAGCCTGCCCAGGCAGGTGATGTTACCTGGTGTGTAGAAGCAACCTGGCTAAATCAGTGTCAAACCAGTTCAGTGCAGTAGTGTGTGGGGAATCTTGTGCAGGTGTTGTCCATATGTGCTGGGTACATGCCTGGAAATGGGAAGGATGATGGTAAGTTTTTCATCTGTCACTGTATCATTTTTCAGAAGGGGTGGAATTTTTTGAAGGCTTAGGGGAAGGATGAATTTTGCTCAAGGTTCTTTCATTTTATTACTGCAAGATTTATAGCATTGCCAGGTCCCTTCTTTGGCCTGATACCAGACCTGCCATCCCTCATCCATTTGGAGTGCAGAGTTCTCTTCCTTTGTTTTTCCAGCTTTTACTCCAAAGGTGGAAAAAGATCAGGGTTTGAACTATTTTTTGAGAGGATTGGCTTGTTCGGTCCTTGTTTCTAAATTACCAAGTCAGGAATGTTTTAAGGAGACTTTGAGATTTCCATAGTTTTACTCTGCATCCCATGATCGGGTTTTCAGTTTTAAAACACTAACATATTTGTCCCTGAATTTAACCAATTCGCCTCATGCCTTATTGAAGTCACTTTCTCTGCCTCAATTCCCTGCTGCTCTAGACTTGAAGCTGTTACCTTTTGTCCTGGATCCACCCATCCTGACACTGAAATGGAGGCCTGACTGAGGAAAGCATTCCAGGAACAGTTTATCCTTTGCTAGTTAATACAGATTCTCTAATGCAGGGTTGCTTTTTTGGCTTTTCTTTCTTTGAGCACTGCTGAGGCCAAATGTCTTCCCAACCACTCTGAAATTCCTCAGCAGTTCACTTTCTTCTTACTATCCGGTCAGCTTCTGTGGGAGACTGTATGGGAGAGGTGCTGTCATGTGCTCTGGGTCTTGAGCCCTGTACTTCAGTACCTTGAGGAGTTTACTGCCAAAATCTTTCCAAGTCTGACCTTTTCTTGGAGGAGAGTTATTCCAGCATGCTTTACTCTTTATATCAAACCACTGAATGTTGTATGTCTGACATTATGGCAACTGTGCACAAGAGCAAATTTTCCTAATTTACATATCTTTCAGAATATCCCTTCCTAAAGAACAGGAGGAATGAATGCTGCCCCTTCTTGTATTGTGCATCTACCCTGCATATTTTGTTACAAGTACCTGCTTAGGTATGTCAAGTGCTACTTCTCAGTAGCTGATATCACTGAACCAGGTATTCCATACATAGGGAAAGCAATAGACACAACTTTATGACAACCTGATCATGGCCACCTAAGGCAAGTTAAAGTTTTAACTTCTAGCAAGGTTTAAATGACTGTGGACAAAACCCAGACAAATGATTTGGCTCATTATGAAATGAAGCTCTGAGTAATGTTTTTGGGGCTGCTCTTCCCTCTCTTCTGTAGCCTGAGGCACTGAATTACAGCTTTTCCATACGTTTGGTTCATATCCTGGTTTTATTTTGGCTCAAAATCATGGGTGTGTTCATTTTGCTGGATTCTTCTTTTGTACCTGTCTCTTGTAGGCTGACACAACACAGAGTCCTAAGAACTGCCTTAAATGCATGTTCATGTTTCTCCTACCCCTCCCCCATGTCTCCTCTCTCTCCCATCCACCCCTTCCCAAATTCCATTAATATTTGCAGAACAAGAGCCAGTACTCCAGCATCAGCCTCAAATTCAGAATGAGATTTTTCTGGCTCTATCTGCAACTAATGCAGAAGACAACAGAGGTTAGAATGCACTTAAAAAAAAAAAGGAGGAACAAAAGGCCTTTTCATATCCAACACAGTGGATGGATTGTGGGATTGTGTTAGGTATAAATAGGCCTTCAAAGCCCAGAGCATATGTAAAAAAATATTATATTTCTTGTTGTTGGAAGAAAGAGGAACATTTATTTACTCCCTGACTGCATTAAAAGATCCTGAGCTTTAACTTCTATGAACTCATTTTTACCATTGTTTCTTCACATTTTGTGTGGGGAGAAAAAAGTTCCTTTCTTCCACTTCCTGGTTCACGTACAAAAAAGTAAAACCAAAAAAGTCAAATGAAGGGAA